GACACACACACACACACACACACACACACAACAACACACACACACGACACACACACACACACACACACACACACACACACACACACACATACACACATACACACACACACATACATACACTAATATACGGAGGTGACGGACGGACAGGCTAGCAGCCGTATAACAATGATAGCGTGCGAGAGAGAAACCACTCCCGTCTCCGCTGTGCTCAAGATAGCGGCTTTCATGCTAGCTCAAGCAACCTCTATGGCTAAATGGCTAGTCTCTAGCCTTCGTAAATAACGCATGATGTCATTATTAGCGGCACTTACTGGCTGGTACCAACGCCCGAGGAGCTTCTCGAATGGCTTATAAGGGTTGAGCACGTGCAAAGGACATCCATCATTGCAGATATGCAAACCATTTCTTGAAAGGAATATTACTGTAAGCTACGCAACGGATAAGGGAAGTCCATCGGTGATCAATGGCGGTCGCTGCCCTTTTGATCTTCGGCGATGTGTGCGTGAGTGCGCGTGTGTGTGTTTGTGTCACAGTGGTCATCGTTAGATTACTTGTGTGTGTTTTTTTGCGAGCGCGTCGCTCGTATGTTTGTGTGCCTGTCTCACGCTCGCTGCTTGCCAGGTAGCACGGAATAGTTCTCCCGACTCGGATATTTGCCTGATTGCGCCGGTAAGCGGTAAAAATCAAAAGACGCGCGCCTTTTTCTTTCCACACAGCAGAAGTTTTTATTTGCGCTCAGTGCCTCGAGCACACGGATAGCAACACGTAGCGTGTGCGTGCAGCAGTAATCCTCAGTCGGTTTCCACCGCCGCAGTGTTAATTGTCTAGGTCGACACCCAGACGTCCACCCAGGTCCACTCGCAACACGCGCACACCGCTGGATGCCCGCACTGATTCACCAAACCTGTGTAAAATGTAGTAAAACCCGCAGTCGTAACGCGGTTAGTTATATTATCAAGAGTTCATAATAGAAAGGCTTGTAATAGATATAGTCTTCTATTATGGCCTCTTGGTTACATGGTCAAGCATTCGCGCGTGCGTGTGGTTTTGACGGTTGCGTGTGGGTGGCGCTGAGCGGTTTTCCCTTTCTCGATTTTTGGTTTCCCCCGAAGCCTCGCCATTCTGTACTTCGACCCATGCCGCTGTGAGTGTTTGCTGGCGTGTATTGCAGTAGCAAACGGCCCCGCTCCGAAGTAACAACAGCATTAATGCGTCGCTTGCCACAGCGTGTGGATTGTCAGAGAGCGATGCACTCGGGAAACTTTGTTTTCATTCGGCGTAGCCAACGACTCATTAGGTTTCGAACGCTGCTGCTCGCACGAGTGGACGATGCGTGTGTGTCTGTGTGTGTGTCATTGTTGCGTCCGCGGCTGCGTAGCGTGTCAGCACGGCGGATCCATATTGCGCAGCAGGAGAGAGAGAGAGAGAGAAAACAGCAAACTAATGGCTGCCTGTGCGCTCGCTCCATCACACACACACACAGACACACACACACACACACACACACACACACACACACACACACACACACACACACGACACACGACGACGTACGTACGACTAACGTACCGTACCACAACCGAAC